ACTTGGCAGGTCTCTCCTCCAGCCCTGGAAAGGTCAAGTGGTTCAAAGGCTGATATTATCAACAAGAAGCTTGAGGCCGGGGTCCTCACAGTCTACCCGGAGTTAACAGTCGCAAATAGACCATCGATGCCTACCCACAAATGACTGGCTCATAGATAGGACCTCGTTGGAAGAGAAAGGCATTGCACTACCTTGGTGTAATAATGTAATTGTGTTCCTCTGCGTTCCCGTCCAGACTCATTCCGGAGACCATTGAGCACATCTTTCTTCATTGTCCTGGAGCGGTCTGGCTGTGGCGGTGGAGGGATAGGGTTTGAGCACTTTTAATTGTCTTTTTCTTTTTTTTTTTTTCTTTTTTTTTTAGCACTCAACTGTCTTGGCCGCGGGACTTGCGGGCTCTATTTATTACGTGAGACCTGGGCCCCGGACCCATTAGATGATTCTCAAATAACCTTTTTTTTATAACTGGCAGAAGAGCCATCCTCTGGGGCCTATGACGGCATCGCTGCACTTTTGAAATGGCGGGAGCAAGGCTGGACGGCCCGGCGCCGGACTTTACAGGAGCAATCAAATTCCAAGTACAGGCAGCAATTACTGCTCAGTGGGATAAAATGAAAGAAAAAAATCCATTTTTTTATCGTCAAAAAAGGAAACTCGACATCACATCCAACTATTCAGTGGCGCCTGGCTTGCGGGGCCTCAAGGGGGTACGGTACGATAGGAAAGATCAAAGGAGGTGGGGTCAGGAGAGAGAACAGGGATGAGCAAAGTGATGAAATTCAAAGGGACTACCGCCTGCAATTTCATGATTGGACAGATGTGGACCCAGCTGTAACCTTTCGCCCTCTTTCAGAGTTCCCAGACCCCTTCCTTCCCCCCCCCCCCCCCCCCCCCCCCTTTATCCCTGGTTGCCATGAATAGGAGGCGATAACTTGGTTTCTTTTTTATGTTTTCTCCGAATCTGGCATTTTTATGTTTTCTCTGAATCTGGCTTTTTTATGTTTTCTCTGAAATGGATTGTGAGCTGGCTACTAGGTTCTGGTGTGAGATATGGCGCCCAGCAAAAGGGTGAAGAGGTGGCACTGCACCAGTGGCCGAAAGCAAGAGTAATGGGCTAAGAGCCTAAGAGACATCATCT